GGTCTAGTTGAGTTGAGTAAGACTAGAAAAATATCTTAATACCAAAAAGGCTATTAGACAAAACTTATGCATGGTCGATGGTCCTTATGAAAGCATAAAATGTAAACATCAACATCTCTTAAAAACACAAACATTTCATGTAGCAAATTTATGTACCCCAATTATGCAACAATTGACCCAAACCTTGGCTAAAAACATCACAATTTTGCATCTCACTTTATATTGGAGATTGCTCCTTACCAGAGTTAGTTAACCGAGCCATTAGCTCGACTCGAGTCGTAAAACTAAAAAATGAAGACTTTCGTGTAATTTTCTATAGTAGGGCTAATTAAAGCTCGAATTCTGTTAGTTAATGCTCGACTCATCTCTTTAATATTGGTAAACTAGTCGATCTCAAATTCGTTTGTCAACCCATTTAGTTAACAATTTTACCCAATAAAACGCTTAAGTTTGATCTCATGTACCAAGAACTCGAGCTCGACTTAATTCATCGACACCTCTAGTACTTATTAACTCGCGTTTAATAAAAACTTTCAAAAACAACAATTATAAACTAAATCGTGACATACGCAAACCTACGGACATTTTTTCTTATGTATCGAAATATTTTGATTCTTATGGTTCTATCATATGTTAGATAAAAACATGAAATATAAAATTTCCAAATTTGGCACCAAGTACACCCAAAAAAAGAAAAAGAAAATAAAAGTATAATAACCAAACAAGCCTTAAGAAAACATTACATCGCAAGTGCGTTTTGTGCGATACTTGCAATCGTGTAAGCCTACATAAATTATTCCGTGTTTGGCTTTTTTGTTTTGTTCCTCGATATAGATTTTTAGCGCACACCATTGACCGCCGAAAAACAGAAGCAGCTGTCGATCGGACAGGCAAATTGGATAATCACCCGAAAGCGAAGGAATTTGGGAGGAATTGAGCTCCACGCTCGATCCCCACTCGGAGAAATTAGGTCAATTTTGTACTCTTTTTGTGCCCATCAAATTTCAATTCAGTTTCTTGAGGGTTTTCGTCTCCTCCTTGCTTAATGCGAACTGGTTTCAGATTTCGATCCAAGATTGTTCATTTTTGCTCTGGATCACTTCAATCTTCGTCTCTAGTTCAATGCCCGTTGATTTCTGGGTTTCGATTTTCGTTTCTTTGTGCTGTTGAGTTGGGTTTGAATTGTGTCGATAGAAGCAAAATTGGGGTGTTTTTGCGTTTTCGATTATGTTAATGATTGTTTTTCTGGCATTAATCTTTACGAAATTTTGTGGGTTGTCGCTAATTCGCTAAGTTACTGTTTGATTTTGGAGAATTGGGGGGGTTTTTTGCTTTGCTAAAGTTGCGAAATTTTGATCGTATATATGTTGAACCTTGATTGAGCTGATCTGTATGAATTGTTGGTTTTCACTTTTTAGAAACTTTAGCTAGTGTGACAGAATGTATGTAGTTTAGATTTGTGCAAATAATTGAGTTTACTAACTGTTATAACAGTACTGGTTCTGGATCTGATAACTTCCTTTTGGATGTTGTGCAGTTAAAAAAACCAAAACAAGAAAAAGGGAAAAAAAAAAATGGTGTCCAACCATCATTTTACTCGTATAGACACGGTCGAGCTGAAAGAGCATATCATCCGGAAAATTGGTCTTCAGAGAGCAGAGAAGTACTTTGACCTGCTCAACCGATTTTTTGCCATGAAGCTCAGCAAGTCCGAATTCGACAGGAGCTGCATTTGTGTGATTGGCCGAGAGAATCTCCCTCTCCACAACAACCTCATCCGGTCCATTCTCCAGAACGCGTGTCAGTCCAAAATCCCCCCTCCTCAAAAACCGCTAAAAAAGCCTGAGAATCTCGGGGTCAAAATCGTAAATGGCTACCAGAGGAATTGTCTCCAGTCTCTTCAGTCCCCTCGCAAGTGCAGGTCTCCAGTCAGCCGGGACCGAAAGCTCCGGGACCGCCCGAGCCCATTGGGCCCGTTGGGAAAAAGCCCAAGCCTGACGTGTGAGGAGACCTTCACGAGGACTCAGGAACAGCAGCAGCAGAGCGCGAACGAGCTGCACTCGATCGGTAGCCGGCCGATGGTTATTGAAGAAGGCGAGGAAGTCGAACAGTTGAGCGAGAGCCTCGATTTTCGGAGGTGGGGCCCACTCACCGCCCCTATTGGTGTCTCGGTTAATTCGGGTGGTGGACCCCACCGGAAGGATATTTCTTGCGGCGGGTATACGTTTGATGATGATTTACGTGAAAACTGTGAGAATATTGGGTTTTTGCCAGATACGAAGTCTTTGAGGAGTCGATTGCAGAAGAAGTTTGCTTCAGAGGGAATTGGGATTTCTTTAGAATGTGCGAATTTGTTGAATAACGGCTTGGATGCATTCTTGAAGAGGCTTATCAAGCCGTGTGCGGAGATAGCTCTTTTGCAGGGGCAATATAGTCATAGTAAGAATTTTAATAATCAGATGGTGGGAAGGCCGAGCCATATGAAAACCGTGAGCATGCTGGATTTTCGGGTTGCGATGGAATCGAATCCTAGGGTTCTTGGGGAAGATTGGCCTTTGCAGCTCGAGAGAATTTGCCATTACGCATCGTGCTAGGCATGCAAGAATTCGAGGAGAAAAAATAAATAAATTGTGGTTTGTGCAGGAATTTGCAGGAATTGAAGGTATCGGTCTAGCATAGGTAGATGTTAACACCAAGGTTGGGGGTGGGATTTTTCTTTTAAAATTTTTAGCTAAGCAATTTTTACACATTTGATAAGGTTTTTTAGCTTCTTTTGTTGTCTGATAGAGTTCGATAGATTTTTATGGTTGTACCGTGTACACTATATAATGTAATGAGATCGAGCATTCCAGTCGGTTTCTACCTATATGGTTTGATTTCCATGAAAATAGATAGAATTATAATAAGTTGATGTGAAAAAATATCAGGGGAGTTCATTCCTTTTCATTACACTTCATGTCATAAACTACAGAAACTGAAGAATTCACATTATGGATTTGCTGGCAAAGAGGAAAAACACCAGAGCTATTTACAAATCACGAGTGAAAAAATAGCTGCTTCACAATCTTTCATTTTAAAATTCCCTCATAAAATGCAAATTCAGCAACCTCATAATCTTCACCTCAAAATTCCCTCAGAAAACTTGAATCGTCCGTACGAAAGCTCTATAACTGACGAATTCGAGCCATGGGCTGCTGCTACTTTCTGAAGCCATTATTCAGAAATGGCAATATTTACTAGGCGAAATAACCATCTCAACTTGTGCCGACTTTAGCTAAGCTTGCTACGTAAGTCATGTAAATGGTCCATAGGTACGAAAATGAGTTGGTTACCAGTGGCTGCCAAATTGAGAACAAAACGAAAACCATAAGCCAATCTTCAACGAAAGATTTACCGAAATCTTGATTGTCAAAAGGACGGCCAAAATATATTAAAAGTGGGGAAGTTAAAAAAAGTTTTTTAAAAAATAATACAAAAATGGGGGCCTGACCTGCAAATGAACCGGGATGAATTTGAACGTCACAAAATCGCAAAACGGCCAGTACATCAAACCATTTATGATAGTCGGGAGCAAATCACGTTTCAACCTGGCAACAATCTCCGAACCACTTTCACCTGGCGTAGCAAAATAATATAGCCCCGCATTAGTTTTGAACAGTTTCGGAAGCTCTGGTTGTTTAATATTGATATGGAGTTTACAATGAAGCAAATATAGCAAAAAGACAATCTCTCTGAAGGACACAAGTATCATAATTCTTTTCTCCATTTCTTGGCTAGACAAAAGATACTCCAGCCAAGAACAACAAACAAACAAAACTCCAGCCAAGAACCATCAGAAGTAGGTTACTCCATTTCAACAAAATATAAAACTCCTTTTAGATAATACCCTGTAATCAGCAACATCCCTTCCATAAAACCATAGACCACATGAATTCGAAACCAAAACTCGAGCAAGTTACACTTAACTAAAGTAATCCCATTCAAAGAGTCACAAAACTCAAACTCTTGAACTAACAAAAACTCTATACAACTACAGCAATGCTGCTAAACATACCTTGTAAAGCAGCATTCGTCGATAGGAATACGGCCGTCATGGCCGGCCCGTAAGTCGTCTGCCCCAAAGCCATTTTCTTTAAAGTCGATAAAAGATCAGTCTTTGGAAACACTCTAGACATGAAATTGTACCAATAATGCACTGAAGGACCTAATATCACTAACCCATATCCAGCCATACGCAAAGTCCTTTTCAAATCATAGCCCTCCTCCAAATTCTCACTCACAATCGTCTGTAACAAAGCAACAATCCCATATAAAATACAAATCAGAAAATGGGTATTTTTTTTAACACCAATTGTTTCACAGTACCTGTGAGGAAATGTCGGCGGCGGCGTAAATGAGGGCCGATGTGATGCATTTGGTGGGAACGGGTCGGGTCCGGAGCATCCCCAAGTACCAGCCCACAAGCCCGGATTTTTCGGAAGAAGACGAAGCCCTAGACGAAAATTTAGAAGAAATTGAGATCGGAGTAGAAAAGTCCGTCGCTTTCGCCTTCCTAAAAATGGAGCGCGCGAAAACGGTTACCCGTTTGTGTTGGTGGTCGCGTGTGCTGGTAACCGGGTCGGGTGTGGAGAATTTGAGGCCCCTTTTGGAGAGTAGGTAGTTTGAGGTATAAAAGCTATGAGCCTTGAGGCGGCTGGTCTTCGTGAGTGCGGCGGCCATGGATGCCGGAGAACAGAGGTTCTGCGTTTCCTTCTTTTCTGTGGAGGGGGTTTTGGAGAAATGGGAGGTTTTATGAGGACTGAAGTGGAAAAGGGAAAAAGTATGGGGGTGGACTTGAAAGTGGAAAATGAGGAAGTGATTGGTGCTTTTTATAGTTTGGCAGGGGTACCTCCTCTGTAACCTCTAGCGTGCGTGTGTGTTGCACGCTCTTTCTAAAGAACATAGAAGATTTTTTTTTTT